ACTGTTAGTTTTAATTTTGAGCTGTTTTTTTTAATTTTTATTATGATTTAAGCTGCGCGTTGTGACGATGTCACTGATGATGTCATTTGGTCATTTTTTACGCCAGTGGAAAACCGACACGAGAGAAGTAGCCTACCATACTTTCAGCACTTTATGAAAGTACCGAAAGTACGGTACCTGGTGCAGTGGAAAAACGCCCAAAGATGCATGGGTTGCATCCTCGCTAGACGAGACCAATCCCATGATTCATTGCACGCTAAGTTCGTTCTTGGGAGGTAAGTTAGCAAGACCTGTCTTGCAAAGACCACAAATATGATATCTTTGCGTTCTAGGTACTGAGAAACACCCCATATTTAATGCTGAATGCAGAAGCAGAGCAAGGCAAATTAAACACAACAAAGCCTACAGCCTCATACCCTCTAGGGAATGTGGGAGCTGAAAGTTAGGGGGGAAAATACATCTGACTCATCTCTGGGGGTAGGGGGTCTCTGTGTGCATGACAGCAGTAACACATAGGCCCCCAGGCAGCCTGGGACCCGCTAACAGCTATGGCGTGAAACCGCAGGCAGGTGGAGCCTCTGTGCACAGATCTTCCAGCGGCTCCTGCTGCAAATGGGGAACACACTGGCTGCGGAGGGGGCGGGCTGCTCTGATGATAAGCCATTCTCAGAACTGCTTGCCCTGGGCCCCCCTTCTCCAGTCTCTCTCTCTGTCCTCCTCCACCTCTTCCTCACTCCACAGGCAGAGCGCAGGTCACATCCTATGTCATGCCTAGAGCCCCTGCGTCGGAGAGCTGTAGCTCAGCCACATAGTTGGCAACGTGGGAGTCCCCTCAGCAGCCACGAACACTATCCACCTTCCCCACAGCCATCACAGAGCTGGGGGAAAGTAGCCCATCCACCACATTCACGACCAAGGGGTGGGCGTTCCTAGGAGCGACAGACAGTATTCGAGCAGTGGAGGGCTCCCCCTCCATGGCTAAGCACGCCTCATGCAGCTCCCCGGACAGCGTCCAAAAATATGTCACCCTGCTCCTCAAACGCCTAAGGGTAAGCTGGTGGCCCCCACCCCCTGGTCATTATTTACATCTGCAAACAATCCCTGTGCTCCATGTGCATATGCGAGTGTGTGTATGAGAGAGAGAGCGAGAGAGAGAGAGAGAGAGAGAGAGAGAGAGAAATGCAAGGGAGGGAGAGAGAGCAAAAGAGAGAGGGCGGGAGTGTGTGAGCGAGAGGACTGTGTGCGCTATCGTGTGCTCGCGTCTCTAACAATGGGTCAAACAGACCGAGTTGGCAGACGCTTGAGCGTGAATTACAGGCAGCTCGTTAAGGCGTGCGCCTCGGCAAGGAATCGCTGGGATGAGCGACCATGACGGGTCGCCCCTGAGCGCTCCAGGCAGAGCTTGCGTGGTCCCGGAGCACGCTAGCAGCTAATCCCCCGCCGGCGGCAGCTGCAGTGGCAGCGGCTGCAGCCCCGCTGTCGACAGTCGACGGAGAGAGACCCTGCTGCTCTGGCCCCCCATCCCCCCACCGGTAAGGGCCAGCATCCTGGGAAGAATATCCACCGCCGCCATGGGAACAACAGTTATCACCATCGAGGAGGTGCGGGCGCTGGAGGGCAAGGAGGAGCAAGAAGAGTCCATCCTGGCCATGCTAGGCATCATCGGCACCTTCCTCAACCTCTTTGTCATCGTGTTTGTTTACATCTACACCACCCTGTGAAGGACTGCTCCCCCCCCTCATCAGTGAGGAGAGAGACGCGGGGGGAAAGGGGGGACAGGCAGAGTAGGGCGGCATGGTCGGCCACCCTGGACAGAAAGGACAGGAACGCACAGCAGGGGTGAGATAACAGCAGCTGGAGCCAGGCGCACGGCCGCTACCCACGGACATCGTCTGACTGACGACTCACGTTGAAAACAGCATTTTTAAAGTGGATTATAAAGAGTAAACATGGAGGATTCAACAAATTGGATTTACAGGACTCGCCAAAGGGAAACAAAAGACAGGCTTCTCTGTAGCGCGAGTGGCACCCCCTGGTGGCTGGACAGCTGTGTCGGAGCAGGCAAGGGGCACACACCAGCCTTTGCTTCATGCTTCTACCCCGGCCTTTATGAGCCGTTCCAGAGAGCAGGAACGGTGGACAGACCTGGTGGGGGCGCAGATATTTTCCCAAAAGACTGCCGAGATATGGTGTGCTCCTCGACGCAGTGACCCCCCCAGGTGCGGTGAGCCGTCCATTTTTCCATGCATCTGTTTGACTTACAGGGCAGAGGAAAGGCACCTGTGTGCCCTTGTTTCAACCTGTACCGAAGGGGCTTTTCTAAATACCATAACTCTAGATGTTCTGTACTATAGGATGTTTGAACAATAAAAGCAGATATACCCCAGCGTGCGCTCTGTGTTGTTGCCGTGCAGACATGAGGTGTGGATGCAATGGTTGCTATGGAGAAATGGGTGCAGTGAGGGATGGAGGAGGTTACAATGGCTCCACCCCCATGTGCCATGCGGGGGGGGGGGTGTTTGAAGGACTGCCAGGTAGTGGGGGTCTAATATGTGGGGCTTAGATATGGCTCATGCTGCCAACGTAGGCGCTGGGGGGCAGGTGCAGCACGTGAGAGAGCAGCGAGGCTGTGTGATCATGCATCAGTACGGATCTGTCTATCATGTATGTGTACATGTGTGTGTGTGGGCGGGGGCTCATTTTTATGGCACCATCAGTCATTCCGGGTGTATGCTGTCCATGATTCTGTTTTCAGGGCTGGGGGGTGTCGGCGGGGCTGAGCTGGAGAGGTACTGATGCTTCCAGACAAAGTGACAAATGGGGAAATTAAATCTAGGCCATAATGACCCATCTGTCGGGTTACAAGCGCTAAACCACCATGGACGACGCCATTTAAAAGCCGTTACCATACAGACAGAAGGTATGCGAGGATCATCAACCGCAGATACACACAGCACAATCTGGGAGGCCCCCTACCCACATGCCTACAGGGGGAGAAGTGGGGGGCCTAAGTGCACTCATCCAGGACAGAGCCCCCAAATCACAGGAAAGGTCAATGTACAGACAGCATCATTAACACAAGCGAACGAGAAAAGCCACTCTGCAGAAGACAGCCTGATTAAGCCATGAATAACCACACATCGCACGCACACTGAGGGAGGGGGCGGGGCCAGGCAGAAAAACCCTCCTCACACAACCACACCAGCTCATTGAGAGCCCTTTTTACATCAGACTCCGACTTCAATTACAGGAGGACCTGAACTTGTTGCAGCCCCACAGTACTAGGGGTGACCCAGGTGGAGCAAAACTACCTATGGTTAGCAGTTCAGGGATTCCACTGAGAAACAGGCAGACCTGACAAGCTGAGTGCCAGACAGCCCAGGCAAACAATCACAGAACGTGAGACCAAGAGGAACCGAGCAGAGTGAAGGTGTGCCGGGGAGTTGTCTGTCTGCTTGGTGTTTAAAAATGAGACCTGAAAATACCAGAAAGCCATCCTGAGAGGAGGGCTCAGTAATAGCTTTGGTAATCACATCACAAAAGCAGCACAAAGCCACTGTCTATGAATCTCCTTCTGCTGGCCACAGCTGCCCACTGGTGGCTCTTGCACAGCTGGGATCACCGATCCCCAGCTGCACCATCAGCGTAGTGACCAGTCTCAGGTGCTGTGCTCCCATCAAATCAGTTAGGATGTGAGAATGGCTGCAGGGGACACATTTCCTGCAGTTTAGCTGCGATATGCAGACACCTGCAGAGATCTGTCCGATTCTTACACCACATGCAAGGCTGGGCATGATACCGGGCTCACCACAACAGGAACATGACAGGAATGGCAGACAGGTCCCTCTGTGACCACTTCTTATTCCACATGGTCCTTCTATGCAACTTAACCACATTCGACTTAGGTAAAGTTACCTGTCAGCTAAGCTATTGGCAAACATGCAGAAACTCAACAGAGGATGAGCCACAGTGAAACCCACAGGGGCTCTGCATGGGATGGGCGACTTGTTGACAGCCATCGATACTCGACTCAACAGAGGATGAACCACGATGGCAAGCTTCTGTGCAACTTCACAGGATAGCACCAGTTGGACCTGACAAAAGACATCCCATATTGGCAGAAGCTGCAGGCCTCAGAGTCACTAACCCCGCTGAGGAATCAGCTCCAGTATTGACTAGGAGCACAACCGTCTGCCTCCTCAGCAGCAATTAAACCCAGGCCACCTCAAAGTAATCAAAGCAGAATGACAAGAAAACAGACACTAATTAAAGGCTAGGCCTCTATTTAAATCTGCCGTCCAGTCTACTGCCTACTGATGCCAAAATCAGTCCAGCCAGATCATGGTGCTGCCGTCAGCTTGCCAGTTGCCAGTTGGATGGAGGCACATAGATTCATCACCTGATGGACCCTGGGTCTCAGGATGACTTTGGCAAATGCATTTGACCAGAAAAACCTGAATGAAACAGCTGCCTGCATAAATGAATGATATTTTAAAGACTCCCAACAGAAGACCATCCCCACCCAGCCATATAGCTCCCTCCTCTGAGATCCTACAACCTTTGGGAGCTAGCTGGTCTGTGCTGATAGCGCTTTGCACCTTCTGTACTGTAAGGGTGTATGCAGCTGAACAGCTCTAAGTGATTTCCAAGGATCCCCTTTTTTGGGCAGTTTGTGGCTCTGCAGGTTGGGACTCTGTGCCTGTAAACAGAAGGTTGCTGGTTCGAATCTGGGGGGCGACAGACTGATGCCCTGTGGGGCTCCTGAGCAAAGCCATTACCCCCGGGCTCCAGGGGCACTGCATACTGGCTGACCATATGCTGTGATCCCTCAGGCTTGCTCTCACATGTATACAAGTCTGTCTCTTATTGAGAGCAAGATAGGATGGGGCAAAAACACAATTTCCCCTGAGAATGAATAAAGCCTCACTGTTCCATTATGTTGCATGCTGAGTGGAGCAGACGTATTGACAGGGCTGGACAGCAAGATGCCAGTGGCTCACCAGAGTCATTGCGCAGGTAAGAGGACATGGCCGGGATCAGGCAGGACTGGCTAAGCAGCTCCTGGAGCACTGAAGGCAGGGCGGTGTTGTTGTGGCCCCGGGCATCCCCTGGGGGGGCTTCCCCAGAGCCAACGTAGCCTGCAGGGTTGATGTAGCTGGCCAGCACCTGGGGCCCAAGCACAGAGGCTGTTAGGTTCTTGTTTGTGAACATGCAGCAGATGGGGGAGGGAAGGGTGCTGACCTGCAGCAGGCAGGTGACGTGTTCCTCCTCCAGCCGCTGCTTGGTCAGGGCCTGCTCCACGTCCCAACCTGACGCTGTGGAGCCCGTGCCGAAGCCCGTGCCCTTAGCCCAGTATAGCTGCTGCTCTTCGCCAGTGCCTGCGGCATGCCCACTGGACACCTGAGGCTGTAAACAAAGGATCAAGTCAGGGGTGAGCGCTATGCCGAGAAGGGGCACCGGCACACTCGCTTGCGGGTCAGTCGCATCATTGCTCAGCACCATGGGTTCAGGCTCTTAGACAGGTCAGCACATTAGTTGATAGCATACAGTACCTTCATTGGTACAATTATAGGTACATTCGAGCTGATCTCCACTCAACCCAGAGAAACTCCTCTGAAAGCAGAATCACATGACAAATTCTGCACCTCATTCTGATATTTTAAACGTGGAGCAAGATCTGAGTCCTTCAGGTGCTCGAAATATGCAGGAAGTTCATAAAACCGGTAAAAATCTGTGTAATATGGTGATCATTGTTGAAGAGGCACCCCTTGGCTCTGAGAGGCTGGCTGCGGGACACTGATGCCAATGACCTGTGAGCAAACGCATGCTGCAGACACACACAGACTAACAAACAGACAGAAACAGAAAAGACACATTCAAGTAGGGGAGGGAGAATTTTAGGGCAGGGTCACGATCCACAATCTTATCAAAATTCTTTTTCAGGTTGGTATTTAAGACTGTTTTGCAGTTAATGAACAGTACACGCTATTGTAAGAAATATAGCCCTATAACAATAAAACCTAAAACAAAAAATGACAGCCTACTCTTTCAGGTGTTTTCTTTTGAGGTGGTTAAAAAAAGTTTGTTGTGTTGCCATCTGACATGCAAATAACTGTTGTTTGCACCATGTCTGTTTTGGAAAATCCGAACAAATACAGTCGATGTCAAATTCTTTTTAGGAATTAACTCCTCCATGTCACTGTGTTGCCACATAGGGAATGTGTTGCATGTTGGGACAAAAGCACAAGAAAGAGGGGCAGAAATCCAAGGCAGTACCTACTGTTTGCTATCACCAGTTTATTGGTGTGTTGAAATGGATTTGGCTGTCAAAAAAACTTTAAATGCATGTATGAGCCATAGAACTGCAAGTGATAGAATGTGCACTTTAGCATGGTAGGAACGATCTCTCCGTAAAGGCGGGTCATGGAATCATGGAAACATTTGAATCATTCATGATCAAATATCGGAAAATCGCCCAGCCATACATACAGATAAATACACACAGACACTCAAGGTTGACTGATATGGGTTTTCCCAGTGGCTGAAGCTGATTTTTCTTCTTTTTTTTTGGGGGGGGGGGGGGGCAGGGGGGATGCTGGAGATGACCAATATAAAACCGATTTTTGAAGTTGAAAAATAAATGAGTAACAACTCCATGAGTAACAAATACTTATTTAACATCAATAACATACACAACAATAATTAAACTCTACACATTTTAAACATAAAGCATTTTAAAATAATAGAAATCAAAAACAGATGCTGTCTCTGCTGACTCAATTTCTGACTAAAGTAACAAACAATATTTCAAAACTTCGGCTTTGTGGTGATGTTATTCATCAAGTGAAACTGTATGGAGTAAGATCGCTGTCAAAAATAACTCGTAAAAATGTACGTCAAATGTACGTTTCACAAGCGTAAATAACGCTTGCGCCTCTGAAAATTACGCTTGCTTCTGAAATTTACGCTTGCGCTTCTGAAAATTACGCTTGCTTCTGAAATTTACGCTTGCGCCTCTGAAATTTACGCTTGCACCTCTGAAATTTACGCTTGCACCTCTGAAATTTACGCTTGCACCTCTGAAATTTACGCTTGCACCTCTGAAATTTACGCTTGCACCTCTGAAAATTACGCTTGCTTCTGAAATTTACGCTTGCGCTTCTGAAAATTACGCTTGATCCTGAAATTTACGCTTGTTCAGGTTGTTCAGGCTTGAGAATCCACTCGTAATTTTCAGAAGCGCAAGCGTAAATTTCAGAAGCAAGCGTAATTTTCAGAGGCGCAAGCGTAATTTACACTTGTGACGTACGTTTTTACGAGTAATTTTTGACAGCAATCTTACTCCATAAAACTGATGTAGGCAAATTTAGAATTCTTACCTTTGGTTGTCGTGCAGGTTTACTACTGTAGATGCTGATAAACCACACTACAACACTGATGAAATGAATGGGATGCGTAGCTGCGCCTCAATCATTCGCATCACCCGCATGCATCACTATATCAGCCATATAGTCTCAAAAGTGCGATATTTTTTTCTGGCCAATTGATCGGTTGACTCAACAGAACACACACATAGACAGACAGACAGAGACACACACACAGTTGGGCCTGCAGAGGCGAGCCTGACCTCAGCCTGGTTGGTGCCGGCGCTTGGCACTCTGGGCGCGTGGTGGCTGAGGGCGGACAGGCAGGCCAGGATAAGGTGGATGGCTCCGATCTCAAGCGCCATGCGGCGCAGCAGAACGCCGTCATCTGTGGTGAGTGGTGTGGAGCTGAAGAGGGCACGCAGCACGTGGAAGGGGAGTGTGGGCAGCACGTTGGCCGATGGCGACTGCAGGATGTGACCTGTCGAGAGGGAGACAGAGAATTTGGTGGGTTGAAAAAACCTAAAGTCTGCTCGCATCCCATGTGGTGCTGACATCATGCTAAGGGAAGTGTCTCATGGGGGGGTGGTTACAGAGACAGGCCGGTGGCTGGCTAACTCACTGCCCTCGCCGTCGTCTGTGACTCCGAGCACCAACCGAAGGAGACACTGGGCATGCTTGCGTTCCCGCAAGAGCACTTCGGCATAACCAGGCAACCGAAGGAAGAGGCCAAAGGCAGCTAGAGAGTGGGCGGGGATGGGTGACATGGGCTGCACTGACGACTTGACAGGCGGAGGCTCAGTGGCAATGCTCTCAGGGGCCTCATACACCAGCTCGCCCGACTGCTCAATGGTCACCCACTCGAACTGGTCACTGTCCTTGGGCTTCTCCTGGGGGGCTGAAGGCACCACAGGGGCACTCACCTGAGGAGAATGAAGGGAGTCAATGTGGCGCTTGGCTAAGAGGCATAGCAGGCACCCCGGAGCCCCGGTCCACTTGCCTGCTGGATGACATCGGGGTAGAGCATTGGCAGCCTTTCGGCAATCAGGGCCAGGCCACCCATCCCAGCAAACACCTGCAGGGGCGACTGGATGGGGCTACTGTCCAGCAGAGAGTCATCCATGGGCGCCTCCAGGCATTCTTCACCTGGGCCCATGGGCTCATCCGGGGCACAGGGGCTCAGCATGTCGCCATGTTCTGTGGGTGGGAGGTAGTCACTAGAGGGAGGGGCCACCAGACCAGTCACTTGTGGAGGTTACAGACACCTCCACAAGTTTTGAGTTTATAAACTCAAAATTCAAAGTTTAAGACAAAGAAACCAAATTAAAATCACTCCTACACGTAATGACAATGGACTAAAAATGTAGCCTGATCAGTCAAGGATCCAGGTTCCACATCACGTGGCTGTTCTGTGAGGGCATCCAGTCAGAGCCAAGCGACAGTTCATCTTCAAGATCATCACCGAGTCCTCCAAACCGATGAGGAGGGGGCAAGCTAAATGATGATTCACTATTGCTGTGCTGAGATCAAATGCAAATCGAAAAGCCAAGTTCTGACAAAGAAAACCTCAGGCAGGCAGGGAGCCAACAATAAAAGAGTCGACCCAACCCAACCCAACCCAACCGCCCAAACATGGCTAGGGGCTGTGGCAAGGAGGCCAGTGGGGAAGTCAGCAAATCGAAGCGCATTTACTGGTGGTTTTAGTCGCTTAATCATGGGACAAAAACTAGTCCAAAAACAGTCCGTCTCTGCTTTCAATGTGAGATGAATATATAAAGAAGAAAAAAGCTTTCAAGGTAATACATGCACGCATCTGGGGGGGGGGGGGTAGTGCTATAAAAAGCTCTATCCATTTGTAGGACAGCATAAAAGGCTTTTAGGGTCTTCAGCTTGTGCCCCTGGTCCAAGGACAGACTGGGGACAGCGGTGGGGGGTACTGAATGGATGGCAAACACTACTTGCTAGGTGTTTTTCTGAAAAGAACACAGGAGAGTGGCTCCCAGGGAGGGATTGCTGGGTAATTCACAGAGAGCTAATAGCCTTAACTTCCTCTACACTGAGGAAGATACCACATTCCTCAGTATACGAAACCATTCCATGAATCGCCACCTTAGAGGTCTGCGTGTCTCTATGATCCGATGATTTGTCAGGGGCGATTACCCCTGGTAGGGTCTCTCAAGGCAAATTGTTCCTAGGTGAGCGGCCAGATTGTGATTCACACAGACGCTTATGATGAAGGACAATAAGGACGTTGGACATTGGGGACAGTGCCTTTGGATTGGCAGACTGATGTGGTGGTCCCAATCTTTAAAAAAGTGGACCAGAGGATGTGTTCCAATTTCAGCAGGATCACACTCAGCTTTCCTGGGTAGGTGTGTGCTGGGGTACTGGAGAGGAGGGATCACACGAGGAACAATGTGGATTCCGTCCTGGTTGTGGATCACTGGACCAGCTCTCACCCCTCACAGGAACACTGGAGGGTTCATGAGATTTTGCCCAATCAGTCTACATGTGTTTTGATCATGTCCCTCCGGGGATCCTGTGGGGGGTGCTTCAGGAGTATAGGGTCTGTTACTGTGGGCCATCAGGTCCCTGTATAGACGAAGCGAGAGTTTGGTTTGCATTGGAGGTAGTACATCAGTTGTTCTCAGTGGGTGTTGGACATCACCAGGGCTGCTCTTTGTCAACGATTCTGTTCATAACTTTTATGGGCTTTTTAGGCGAAGCCAAGGGGTGAAGGGGTTCGGTTTAATACTGTACCATTCTGTTGTGGTAAAGAGAGAGCTGACCTGGAAGGCAAAGCTTTTGATTTACCAGTTGATTTACATTCCTATCCTTACCTATGGTCATGAGCATTGGGTAGTGCCAAAAAGAATCAGATCAGAAACAATGAGTTTCCTCTGCAGGGTATCTGGGCTCAGCCTTAGAGATAGGATGAGAAGCTCAGACATTTGGGAGGGGCTCAAAATACACCTGCTGCTCCTCTTCATCAATAGGTGCCAGTTGAGGTGGTTCAGGCATCTAACTAGAATGCCTCCTGGACGCCTCCCTGTAGAGGTGTTTCAGGCATGTCCAAGTGGGAGGTGGCCTCGGAGTAGACCCAGGACATGCTGGAGAGATTCTCTCTCTTGGCTGACCTAGGAATGCCATGGTATTTCCCCTAGTGGAGCTGGAGGCGGTGGCTGAAGAGAGGGAGGTCTGGGCATCGCTGCTTAGACTGCTGCCCCCACGACCCAACCCCAGATAAGTGGCAGGTAATGGATGGATGGATTCCAAAATAAATATGTTTTTTTGAATGCCACTGCCATTGGAGGAGTTTATGTAGATGTGTCTGGGTAGCGGCTCGACATTGCAGGACCAAAGCCAGAAGCTGGCGAGTTTCCTGGGTGAGCCACTCACACCGATGGCCTGGATGCCATGTCGGTGCTGTGATGCTGGAGTCAGTTATCGACACTCTGGAGATGAGGTCTGCTAGCCACATCACGGGGGAGCTATGAACTGGGCCGGCTCGCCACAGAGGGAGCCCACCGTGCAGTAATAGGTGCTTTGTGGTGTAAGGCAGAACCGGCCTTATAAATGATCATGGGTCAGACATGACTCTGCCTGACCAATAAAAATGTAAGAGCCTCAAAAAACTGGCTCAGTTCCAGCTGAATTTAATGACTGAACTTAGTTTAGGTTTCATGTCACGACAGACCCAGAGCACATGAGGAGACTTCTGGAGTAACCTGGCGGCGATGAGTCGGCTGTTAAACCAGACAAATCAATGGCTTTCCAGAAAAGGCCATCACCGCCTCTTTCAGTGGGAAGGTCGACCTGCGCCACCCATACTGACCTCACAAGGCCTTAGATGGCCAGAAGAAATTACCTTTCTCTGTGCGCAGCCGTTTGAAGGAGTCTGTCTTTGACAGGCTGGGGTCAGAGATGACCTTCGATCCCAGCTTGACCGTCAGGTCGATGGAGCGGTAGCCCTGGGGCAGCTTACGATCATATAGGAGGGTGAGCAGCTGAGCCAAGGTCATCTCAGGAGGCAGTGGCTGACCTGTGCGGGGTTACGAGGGAGGCACAAGTTGTAGCCAATGTTTCAGAAGCGTGAAGAAAAGTGGGCAAGGTCAAAGCATCGTTTAGCTTCAAGGCTCCACCTGACGTACCCTGCAGCAGTTTGTGGTACAGGTGAAAGACAGGCACACTGATGGTCTTGGAGGAGGAGTCCATGCCAGAGGAGGAACTCAGCTTGTCAGTCATCACACGGCCCCGTCGTGAAGGGGGGCGGGGTGGGGTAGACACCGCTCTCTTGGACTGGGACTTCAAGCCTGTGGAAAGGTACAGAAGCCCATCTAACATTAGCCAACCAGCGAACCACAAAGACTGAGGCCGCTTAGACCCAACCTGCCACAAAGTGGCCCCACACAACCCCTCATCCACATCTCTCTCCTCCACTGTGATGCTTTTAATAGCCATGGCATTTGGAAGGCTGGAGGAGGCATGATATTGATCATTTACATTAATGATATTGACACCAATACATAGAGTAATCCGGTTAAATTTGCAGACGACACCAAGGTGGGCGGTGTAGCAGATACTGATCTAGCAGCAGAGAGGCTACAACGGGATGTGGATTTAATTAGCGACTGGGCTGATACTTGGCAGATGAAATTTAACATAAATAAATGTAAGGTAATCCATGCAGGGAGAAGAAATATACAGTACAGGTATTTTATGGGTTCCACCGAAATAAAGGTAGCTGATTACGAGAAAGATCTCGGTGTGTATGTTGATGCTTCTATGTCCCACTCTCGCCAGTGTGGGGAAGCAATAAAAAAGGCCAATAGAATGTTGGGTTATATTTCTAGATGTGTGGAGTTTAAGTCAAGGGAGGTGATGCTACATTTATATAATTCCTTGGTAAGACCCCACCTAGAATATTGTGCAGGTTTGGTCACCATGCCTTAAGAAGGACAAGGACAAGGACTTAGAAAAGGTGCAACGGAGGGTGACGAGAATGATTCCTGGTCTTAGAGGAATGTCTTATGAGGAGAGGTTAGCTGAGCTGAATCTGTTTAGCCTCGAGCAAAGGAGACTAAGGGGGGACATGATCCAGGTATATTAGATTTTAACAGGTCTGGATGCTGTTCAGCCACATGGCTATTTCAATATTAGTTTAAATACTAGAACTCGTGGCCATAAGTGGAAATTAGCGGGAGAACATTTTAAAACAAATTTGAGGAAGCACTTCTTTACACAGCGTGTAGAGTATGGAATAGTCTTCCTGCTAGTGTAGCGGAAGCTAAAACCCTGAGCTAGATAAGATTTTAACATCTCTGAGCTATTAGTTAAGTTCTCCCCAAATGAGCTTGATGGGCTGAATGGCCTCCTCTCGTTTGTAAATTTCTTATGTTCTTATGATGAGGGTTACAAAGAGCCATCACTGAAGAAGGGGACAGGGGACACCACGTACCTGAGGCCACCACTACACTGTAATTGTCCTGAAAGCCATTGTCAGCCTTCATCTTCTCCTTCTCTTCGTGGTTCTTCTTCTCCTTGTCTTCCTTTTGCTCGTTAATCAGCTTGGCTGTGATGCTGGGGGTATCTGCAAAAACCGGCGGCAGGGATCAGTGAAATAGGAATCAAGAGCCCAGGGTAGGTGGTTGGGTCATTCGGTGGGTTGGTCACTCATTCACTCGCTTGCTCACTAGCACAAATGCACATAAAGGGGGACTCTCAACCCCCCCATCCTGCAGCGACAGACATTTTTTCCATCTCAGAGCCATATTAAAAGTGATCTTTGGGTGAGGGTTTACAGAACAGTGGGAGCAGGAGGCTGGAAAATTAACCCAGGTTGATTGGCAGATGCATGGTAAGAGCCAAGTAGCAGCTGCTTCCCAGAACCTCCCTCAGAGTGTCCTCCCCACAACCAGACCAGCCAGACAGCCTGGTAAGACAGGGGCGGAGCTTCCTTCCTCAAGGTCTCCCTGAAATGGACATTCATCACGATGATGCGAGTCCGCTGCCACCTTGGCAGCCGGATAACGCAAGCTAGATCCGGAGTGTTGCTGCACGTTCTGGACAACCTGCCTGCCACAGCCCCCTTAAATCACCAAGGTGGGGGAGGGGCATACATTTGGCTACAGACTATTTCAGGAAAATAAAACAGCAGCGCTTGGTTGAGGGATCAGGTAAATAATTAGACAGGAGCAAAGGATCAGCCGGGTCTGGTGGATTTCACAAGGACATCCCACCAGCTTGAGCACCACTAGCCTTACTCAAGGCTGTCGGGGGGTCAGTGGCTTGCAGTGACCCTCCCTTCTAAGAGAGGATACCAGGCAGACAGGAATAAATGTGAGCAGAGAGCTGGAGGTCATACTGACATCACTCCCCATCAGGCTGGATGGAGATATTACCGTCAGCTTGCCGATCCCCAAGTGCTGAAATTGGCTCTGATCCGGGGACACGCACCTGAGACACGGTCCAGGACCTCCGCCAGGGTGGTGGAGATGGGCAGGTGCAGTGTACGGAATTTGTGGCCAGCTCCATACATGGGGTGCTGGATCACGTGACTGGTGGCATTGATGCGGCCCTTATACAGCTGGAGGAGGGAGGGCGACAGGAGACAGAGACATTAGCAAAGAGCTGATTGCACATGTCCCACTCCCTTCTCAAATGATGCTTCATCAAGCTTCATCCAGATTAAAAGTTACTGTGTCAACCAGATTCAGCCCAAACATGTCCGCCGCAAAGAACAAAAACGAAGTTCCCTGACTACCAGTATAAGGACAGAGGGCCCCCCAACTCACAGGTGATACCTGGGAGAGGATAACAGCGGATTTGGGCATCAAATGCATGCTGGGATCCTGCTTCCTGTTCTAGGGGAGGCAGCAAGCTTTCATTCCCAAACCTGGCAGCTTTAACCCTTTGGAGACTAAGGGCAGGGGGATACACTTTCACTGACTAGGGTATGATCACACATTTGTTCCAATTTCATGAACTTACCCCCTAGTAAATAAGCATCCCTTGTTAAACGTCTGCAGTATGTTCTGTAAAACGAGGTGTTACGGCCGTTAATGCGAATGGACGTTGGTCGAATGGACGTTAAACAGGGCATACCTGTAAATTTGTTTTGGCAATTAAATGTATATTGTAAATATGTCAGAGTAATGTTCAGTTTGTACACACTGCAACACAGTTTGGAACACTTACAGAAACACTGAAAATACATAGTAAGCACTGGTGCCAGTTCATTTTGATCTCAGAAATCTAATCATCATTGCGTATGTGAAGATGACTAAATAGTGTAGCTACAACATTAAGATGGATAAATAAATTGGAAAAACTTATGTCACCGAGTACGTTTACTAATAAACACTAAGAAAACCGAATTATTGTGTTGAGCCAACAAAAACTGGACTTTTAAAGTACATGTAAACATGAAATTGTACTAAATTGAATTTCTCAAACTCGAACAAAGAAACCCAGATGATGTGACTGGGAGTCGATTTTCTCCTGCATGTATACATTCAATCGGACTCAAACTGGCCTAGGCGCTCTGTGCATGCTCCACAGTGTCCCCCCTGGCCTTTGACCCGGAAGTAACAAAAATAAACGGTATGCAGAAGAAGCATGGAGTACAGCAGAGATCACATTGTTGGTGAACTTCAGCACCATAAAGTGGTGTTGATTGCCTTCGGATAACACCATAGTCAAGGAATAGCAGGCATCTCGTTCATTCCAAAATTTTTTTTAAATGTACCGCACATACAAAATGTACAGCCTTGTAAAGCTGTCCAATTCATCGTTCAACTAAAGGGCGATTTTACTGTATTTTTGGAGTAAAAATTGATTCTGGCGCCGAATGACATCACAACACGAAGTGGGGAATTTAACTGTATTGAACTCGTTTTTTACTTCTGTGACGTAATAGGTCAACCGGAAAAAACCCAATAGCTAGTCTAGCAGCTCAAATCATAGAACAGTCACTGCAAAACTGAAACCCATGTGGGTCAGCTGCCCTGCTGCGCCTACCGTGCATCCATTCATAATCTGGGCCCCCACAATCTAAAGTGTAAACATGACATTTCACAGTCCACCCATTAATCAGCCCATCTGTGTGGGTGATTAATGCCACAGAGCCAGGCCCCAAACACTTGGTAAATCAGGTAGCACATCTCAAGCCAACCGCGAGTAAATTATGGCCAGAATCCACGTCGCCTCCAACAATTACGATTCCTCAAGCAACTGTAGGTACGGATTTATGAAGTGATATCAGACATAATGGACAAGGCCATGAGAGTTTAAAATGCTGAGTTCTACACGATTAAATATCCTTTTGGGCTAAACCACATCCACCTGCTACTTTAATCATCTATGTCCAGCATTAATATTCATTATTCTGATGAAGGTCACACACAGCACTACTCTGTATTCCGGTCTACTTTCACGCATCTCTACTACATAGCTGCCCTCTACCGGCCAAGCCGCTATCTACAGGAACACAGAAAGCAGACCCATAGGCAGCAGAACCCACCGGACAAGGAGACTGCAAGAAGACTGTGACCTTCTCGTCCTCCAGCATGAGCTGCAGGAAGAGACGGCGGATGAAGCCCGAGATGTTCCCAGAGATGGGGACGCTGCCGCGCTGGGGGGCTGACTGGAAGAGCTCACACAGTACCTGAAATGCAAGCAGGGGGCATGTTAGCTAAACTACAGCAGCGAGCGGCACTGACCGGCTCTAAAAATTCAGATTTGGGGTACCCAGCATTAAGTTATTTGGTATTGTGAAACACAGCAGACGGGTGTCACATGTTACATGTCACTCCCCCCCACCCCCACCCCAGTACACAGCACCCCCACCTGGGCCATGAGTCGCTGGTTGTTGGGATGGCAGGAGATACACTGCAGGAAAAAAGCTACGGTGGCATTCTCGATGGCAGTCCTCTGCTGGGTGGTAAGCCCACCACCCCGGCCAGATGTACCAAGGGTGTAGCGGGAGCCGGAGGCTGGAGTCTGTCCCTGTGGCCCCTGCGTGCTGCCGGTGGCACTCGAGTGGCAGAGCAAGAATAGCAGGGCTGTCCACAGTGGATTCACTTCTGGGCTGCCCAGCCAGTCCTTCATGGCATGGCTGCTCCCCACCTCAGTCAGGAACCGCAATACAGGGGCAACCAGGTCGGCGGTCAGGGGCAGGCGTCCAGAGAAGGGGGGCTGGGCCCGTCGCGGGCGGTCAGCTGGCTCAGAGGGGTCAAGGTGTGGAGCCTCGGAGCCAGACAACAGGCTATAGCAGAAGGCAGCCAGGCTGCGCACCAGTAGCAACGGCAGACCAGAGGCCAGCAGCTGCTCTATGGCACCCGATGACTGGGAGGCGGCTGCCAATGTGGCCAGCTGGCACTCCGAGAGGACGACAGGAGCCCGGGCATGCTTGGAGTCGTCTGTCTGGGCTGCTGCACTCAGGTCATGTTGTTTCTTGCCATCGTCAGTCATGGAGTGGCGGTGCTGGGCCGGTGACTGCTCAGAGGGCGGGGCCACGATGCCCATCCAGGCCATGAGGAGGGAGAAGTAGTTGGGGTGGATGTGGCACATGGAGCAGAGCAGGCTGTCCACTGCCTTCTTCAGGACCATGTTACAGGGCAGCAGCATGGACCAGTTGTACAGTAACCTAGAGGATGATGAGAGCAGGGTTCAATACTGTACAGGAACACAACCCGATCTGCAGTGAGGTCCCTCCTGGACCTGGTCCGGCCCAACTCACTGGAAGAGCTGCCGGCTGAGCAGCGCAGGCAGGTCATAGTCCACAGGGAGCTCGTAGCTGTGCCACAGCACAGCCGCCACGCAGTGCAGGTGTGAGGGCGATGGCATCAGCAGACCGTACTCTCGGGCGGGGCCACCAGGGCCACCATAGCCCATTTGACCACTCCGTTTCAGTGCCGCCACGCGAGACGAATCCTGTACCCACTGAAGGAGGGCCTGGATCCTGGGGAGAGGACAGAGTCAACCAGGTTATACTCAACAGCAGGCTCAAGCCCAAAGAGAACCCAGAGTCTGTCTGAAAGACCAAACAGCTCAGATAATTTAAAAGAATAATGAACTCCGGTAAATGGGCTATGAATGCACTCACTCCTAGCCATTTCCTAGCTACCACACGATACCTGTCTTTTGTCCCGGGATCCTGGGTTGTACCGAGCTGGTAGAGGATGTCTATGGTGGAGTCAGACGAGAGGCCATTGAGCCTCCCAAACAGCAGAGGGCTGTTCAGATCTGTGTGGTGAGGAGAGTGTTAGAGAGTGGACAGTGCATGAGCACTAAAACCTTGGCTGAATCAGAGAACTAAACCGTGACAACGAAGAGTAGTAATGCTAGATGGTGCTTGAGTATGTTAAACGGTGTAACAATACTAAACCCAGAAGGCTGCTTCAGAGCACTAAACCCTGATATCACAGAGTAGTAAATCCAGATGATGCCATAATACTAAACAGGAAAAGAACACTAAACAGCTTTTGACTACTAAACCCAATCTCCAATGGCACAAGAGTACTAAACCCCGACAGCACAAGAGTACTAAACCCCCAGCTGCTGCTGAGCACTAAAGCAAAAACTCTTCCCCCCACCCCCGTTAGGACACGCACTGGCGGGGTCGGTCCCAGAGGCAGCACAGTTGCGCAGAAGGATGTCGATGAGCTTGAGGCCAATGCGGGTGGACTGCAGGCCGATCTTGACTAGCACAGCTTCAATGTTGGGCGAGTGCATGCCACAGTATGGGGACATCAACAGCGCAGCGCATGTCTGCAACAGGTTGGCGGTAGGCGCGGCGGCACCAGCCATGGTGGCCTCCAGGTCGCTGACATGTGTCAGGCAGTGATGCAGCAGTCGCAGCCAACCAATGCTGAAGGGGACATGAGACACCGACCAATTAAACAGCATGCTTTTCCAGGAGTCATCCTAGTCAGTAGCTTCACTTTACTCACAACTACACAGCTACAGCGGCTGCACACCATCCAGAATAAACATTTTTTTTTTTTTTTCTTTTTTAAATAAGTGAGATTAAACATTCAGCCACATGCTGGAGCCCCCCCCCCCCCCGAAAAGTGAGGATTGACCCAGTGCAGAAGCATCAATTGTCTGATTAATGACAGGCACTCCACCTGGTCTTGGACACCTGGTCCTCGGAGGGCAGGAAGGGGTTGTTGACGGTGGCAGAGGAGGTGTTGCCAAAGGCGGTGAGACCCAGGAGCTTGATCTGTGAGAGGCCAAGCGTGCTAGCATCCCGAGGCCGGTGCAGGCGCAGGCACACAGCCGACGCTACTTCCGCCCGCACCAGCTGAATCTTAATATAGGTGAGGCCGCTGGTCACCACAGGAGCCGACAGCGGCAGCATGTTGACTCCATCAGCGCTGATCTCCACGGAGACAGAGGAGGGGCAGGCTGGGATGCGAGGGGGCAGAGGGAGACATCATGAGCTTAAATGTGCAGGTGTCTGAGAGGAGCAAAAATTACTTGAACAGTACAGACCACAGACTCAAGTTAGATGAGGCTCATCTTATTCTGGCACTGATCCTGGACCGTATCTGGCCAATGAGCCCCAAAGGACAATGTAAGACATTAACAAATCCATTCTCAACAATCGCCCTCTCTGGGGTGGTTGCTAATAAACCAGAGCATGTGGAGCATGACGACAGCGACTCAGGTCTGTAGGCAGGAGGCGCTGCGTGATGGACACTCACTGGCAAGTGAGGCCAGGTGGGGCTGTATGTGGACCTCCTTTAGGAGCACGGCTGCTGGCAGGTGCACCGTCAGGTCACACCAGGCCTCTTCAGGCAGGAAGATATATGACCAGGCGGCGGAGCGGGCACGGCGGTGCGGTGGTGTGGCCTGGAGCAGCACCTCCGCCGGTTGGGCCGTGGGACTGCTCGAGGTGATGGTGCCTGGGGAGGACATTAGTGATGTATAAATAGGTACAAAGGTGAGAATCTATCCATTTCTGGAGCTCCATACTGAATCACAGTGAGTCCTGTTGACTGGTACGGTTTGTTATGGTACATCGTTGTGGTACAGCAGGAGCCCTGTCCCGGACACTCAATGATCACACACCGAGAGGAGCAAAGTTGTGCAGTCCCTCCGCGTTATCAGGCTCTGAAGCCAGCACCCGGGCCTTCAGGCTGCCGTCTGCTGCCTTCCCTGGCCCAGAGTCCAGGAATTTCATTATGGTGGACACCATGCTCCGTGCTGTGTTCACAATGGCCCGTGTGCTTGTCACCATGTTGTTGCAGATCAGTTGTACACCACCTGGGGGTGCCGAAACACACACAAACCAAGTGAGAACAGGGAAGCACTCTGCTCACCAGGAAAAGGAAGATCAAGGCGGCAATAAAGCGTCCCGAGTTCCCTAATCTCCCAAAACAGCTGAGAAGCAGCCCTGGGGACTGCCAGTAGGCAAAACGGGATGTACCCATGTCGTGAAAAGCCTTGAGGGCTTCGCTGGTATCCAGCACCCTCAGGATGAACCAGAGCAGGGGCTCAGAAAGCTGGCAGGTAGACAGGGATCCCTGGGGGACAGGCAACACACAGAAAGGTTACTCCAGAGGTATAAAGCACTGAGGAGATCCCAACATGCAAGGCCTGGCTCCGAGTCACCCCCACCTGTCTGCCCATATAGCCGCAGGCCATATACGTAAGGATGGGCTGCAACATGACCTGCACGGAAGTGGCCTTCTTGCTCAGCGTGGTCAAGATGGTGAAGAGGCCGTCCCCAACAGAGATAGCATCCAGGCCGCCATGGAAGTTCTCATGCTTGGTAAGGTGGAGGCCGCTGGCTCCTGGAAGCAAAGCATCATGGGCTTCAAAGAGAGAGCAACAAAAAAAGGCAACAAAATCTCACTTTCATGCCACACTCAGCCAAATAGGAATTGTCGTGGTCATTTCCATTAAAAAAGAAAAAAAAAAAATCACAGATCTACAAAGGACCACTAGTGGTATGATGGACATACTGCGCTGACTGTTTGACCTACCTATGATCATGGCCATGGCACTGCTGTTGCACTGGCCCAAAGCAGACAGAATCTGGCTCATGACTTGCTGATTGGCCAGCACCAGGTCGGCCACGCCTGCTGCGGGGCCCTGGGGGGAATTGGAACCCGCGCTGGAGGCCTCCTTGCTACCACAGACCTTCTCCTCGTCAGAGACGCTGTCGCAGGCACTGCTGCTGGAGGGCAGCATGCGGCCGCTGAACTCACGGTCTCCAGACAGTGGCAGCTGCACCAGGGCATTGACCAACCTGAGCAGGTCGAACATGAGCTGGTCTCGGGTGGTCTCACCGCATGCAGCCTTGGCATCTCCTGGGCGAATGATGTTGGCAAAGAGGCCGCCAAAGCAGGCACGGGCCCCCACCGAGCTGTCCGAGCCACTGCGTGACACCACCTTGTCAGAGCAGGTGATGTAGTGGTGCACCAAGAAGGTGATGGACTCGATGACGGCCGAGATGGTGCTCACCGACACCACCTCGAAGTTCTGCTCCAGGGTGAACTCTAGCAACTTCACCTGTGCATCCAATGGCCCCTGGCCCGACTGGAAAGGCCCTCTAATGGAGCAAAAGGGAACATGGCATAGACCATGCTTTAGGACATGGGGTCTTATCACATACAATCAAGTTAATAATCCACCTATATCCAGACTGTCTGCATTTGGCTCTATACCCAAAATTATTCAGATGTAAGATCCATTAGGTGACCTGACCTACCTGTCAGTGGACAGAATGTGTATGAGTTTGAGCAGGAATTCGCTGAACATCTGGGGGCAGGTGGAGGACAGGTGCACCTGCAGCCTGGTGAGGAACTCCTGCATAGCCTGCGTGGCCGTGGGACCAACCTGTCGTCACCAAACAATGACATCACATGCGTCCCGCCTCCAACACAGCCTGCTCGCAAAACCAAGACTCATTGTGCCCCCCATTAAGAGATTAGCCCGCTGATCTATCATGCTGGCTGGAGTGTGTATGGCATACTAAACAGTTGAATGCTTTATGGTTTCCTCAAAATCAACAAACATTTCACAAGAAAGTAAAGTTGCTTCCGTCAGTGGGCGGGACTAGTGCAAGTCTCCGCCCCCCAAAGGCATCATGAGAAGGAAGTGAAGCAAACCTGGGAGCTGTGCTGGCTGGTGCTGTAGGGGCCGGTGCCAGAAAGGAAGCGCACAAGAACGTGGACCAGGGCTGGGTCCGACACCATCTGCTGGGCTGTGCTCTCATGGGTCCCTAGGATGCCAATGGATGAGGCTGAAAAACACACATGTATAGGTTCACATGCAATGCTGCTGCTGGGAAGCCAGAGTGTGTGGGATGGGAAAACCAGAATACTGGGGGGGGGGGCAGCACTCACGGCTGGGCTGCATGTTGGTCATGAGAGTGAGGCTGTGGAGAACCAGGCACCAGGTCCGTAGGGAGATGTTGAGGTACCAGGCCAGGACTGTGAGGAAGCTGCTGATGGAGGCTGCAGAGGAACAACAGACAGCCGGGTGAGAAACCGAGGAAGAGTTCAGAAGAGAAGCCAGCATGGGGCAGAGGTAGGAGGACCGACCCTCAGCAGCTACAGCTCTGTGAGTCCATGGCAGATTAATCACAAGAGAGAACATGCTGAGAGTACAAGAGAAAACCTCCATTCAGGCAGGAGAGTGCAAGCTCCTCCAGATAGACAAGAGAACATCAAAATGCCACAAGCTGTCACAGCTGCTACTGGTCCTTGGTCTTACAGACTGGCTGACCTTAGAGATCCACCCACAGCCCCAAGCAGGACACCATTAAAGCCTCCAGGACAATCACCCTTTCTGGACCCAGCTGGTACCACCAGCTCCAATATACAGCTCAGGCTGAGGCAGGAGTGATAGGCTAATGCATTAAGGCTTTAAGGTAAAATTTACCATCCTGATGGTAAATCCTATCTCCCCCTTCACCCTGTGAGTGTAAGCCGTGCCAGACAGGCTGGTCTGAGAACAGATGGCTACTCAATATTCAGGTTAACATACGTTAACCTTTACATCAGCTGCACTGGAGAGCCACAACGCAAGAGAGGCCACTGATGAGACCAGAGGATATGAGGAGGTAAAGCTGACCTTGATTCAGAGGGATGGTGGGAACTCGGCTGGAGTTAAACAAAAAGACGTCAGACGTGCTCTCCTCACTGCCACCCGAGGAGGAGTTGAGGCTGAGGGTCAGCCAGAGCTGCAGCAAAGACTCCAACTGCAGGGAGAAACACAAGAGCAGAACTCATGGGCTGGAAGTCGCTCAGAAATGGGATCACAGGAAGGGAGTCAGAGCCACCTGTGTCCGGGGGGAGGGGATCACGGCCTAAGGAGTTAGAGCCACTCCAAGTGGTGATCACAGGCAATGCAGTCAGAGCCTCTCAGAGTGGGAAATGCGGGACAAGGAGTCAGAGTAGCTCAGAAGGGGATTCACGGGCTGGGAGTCAGAGATGCTCCGACCGGTTATCACAGGATAAGGAGTCAGAGCAGCTCAGTGTGGGAATCACGTGATAAGGAGTCAGAGCAGCTCAGAATGGGCATCGCAGGGGGGAGTGAGGAATCCCTGGCAGCCATAGCACTTCATACCAGAGAAATGACTGTGACCACACTAAGCACCTGTTACAGTAAGGGGTTGTTCAGGGCTTCAGAGTGAGGCTGGGCTGGAACCTACCTGCACGTGGTGCACCTGCAACATGGAGAAGAGCTTGTTGAAGCAGGCACTTAGCATGGGGATGGAGGAGACCTGCACCATGAGCCCACCTCCCTGCGAGGAGGGCTGCAGGCCTCGCAGAAGTGCATCGTCCGTTCCGCTGGAGGCCTGGGTCACTGTGGGGGAGTGAGACAGACATGTAACCCGCATCATGTGGATGTATGCATGTGTGAGCACGGCCATGTCACGCACCGGCAGGGGAGGAGGCGGTGAGCGCCTGCAGGATGGAGTCCGCTTCCAGTGTGGCCATCATCTTCAGCATCAGCTCTGCCTGCTGCTCCAGTCCCACCTCCAACCGTGCGTCCAGTGCTGCTGGGGACCAAAGCGGCGGAGTCAAAAAGAGGTGCGGCTCTCCCCAAGGCATGGTAAGCATGTGAATGACCTTACCTTGTGAAACGGAGATGGACAGACTCTGCGAGCCGGGCTTCTCGGGGCCAGCTGGGGATTTGGACACGGGCACACCCATGCCTCCAACATAGGGATTGTAGCTGTATGTGCCATAGTCAGCACCCCAGTAGTCATACCAGGTGCTGCTTATGGGCTTGTGGGGGGGAGGAAAGAGATGTCACTTCAGGAGTCCACGTCGTTGTTGTGGGGACAACTTGCCCAATCATTCTAATGTGACTGTTCTGTTTGACACACTAATCCAAAGCCTACAGGCTTGAGACACTGTCGCGCTTTACAGAATACGAGAGTCATGTTTCGACCAGGCAGGGCGGCTAGCATGCAGAAATAGGGAGACACACTGAGAAAGGCGGACATACTGTACCTTGAAGACTTTGGCAGCGAGGGGATCTTTTTCCAAATCAACATCTAAAGGATCAATATCAACATCCATGAGGTCTTGTAGCAAGTCAAAGTCTATGTCTTTATCTTTTTCCAAAGAGGCCAGAGGTGCTGCACCTTTGGATAATGAAAACAGCTTTGATGTTGCCAAGCAAGTACCATTAATAGGCCCCTGAGAGTGTCTGCTGACATGGTCTGCTGATGTGAACCATAAACACACGAGACAGAACAGAGGTGAGGACAAAAGGGCTATGAGGCGGCAAAACGCTGCCCTGCGCAAACATGGATGTACTGATGGGCAGGGAAGGCAACAGTGATTGGAGAGAAGCAGCCGATCACGTCACTCACATAGCCCAGGGTATAACCGAACATACACAAGAGCATACAGGGTCTGTGCAAAGGACACAGTGACACAGTAAGGCCTACCGACGCACTTCGGAAAACAGAGGGGGTCGCCAATGTACCTGCGATGATATCGGGGGCCAGGGCCTCATCAAGGGTCTCCCCGAGAGGAACAGGGGTGGGCTGTGGTAGGGTCTCATCTGAGTCCACGGCCACCCCAGCCTCCTCAACTGCCGCCCCCTCGTCCATCCCCTCCAGCGTGGCCGGGGACAACAGCTCACCTGTGTGAAGGCATGACAGCCCAGTTACCATGGTGATGGCCAGTGCCTCACAGTATGGTTAACACGAGCGGTACGGTCCTGCCCCCACCCAACGGTATGCTGCACCTGCCAGGATGTCCTGCACCATGCAGGTGAGTGAATACTGGGCCCAGGCCCCGCCCCAGGAGATGTCTCCACGGTTAAAGTCTGTTCCAACGAGTAGCAGCAGGATCCTTTCCAGCTGCTGTTCACTGACAACCTCACACAAGTGGATTGTGGGACGGCTGGCATTGGCTATCCTGGCCAGCACCTGCACAGGGACAGACAGGTGAAAAGTCAAGAAATGATTCCATCTTCACCTTGTGTGGAAAGGTACTCCCCTGAAGCCATAGCTCTTAAATTTGCTTAGTACACAGAATGTCAGGCAGGGCGCAGACCTTGCAGACGAATAGCAGCAGGTCAGCATGGCACGTGAAGTCCATGGAGAGCAGGAAGAGGGCCAGCTTCTGTACGACGGAGATGCAGCGCTCGTGGGCCAATGTGAAGGGTAGCGGCTCCACCTCCGCAGGTTCCTTTGTCGATGACGCCTCGGTGTCCAGTGTGGAGCGTGGCCACTCTGCCGTACGCCGCAGACGGATCAGGTCTTTAAAGTGCTGCAAGTGGGGGAGGGTAAAGGTCATCCAGAGTGCAAGAGAGAACATCTCACATCACGTCACACTCATACCCACTAGGGGGCAGAAACATTCAAGGGAGCTCATGGGAGTGGGTGGGCACTGACCTTAGATGTGGCTTGCTTCAACTTGGCCTGCTCCACTAGTAGTTTATATGAAGAGCCCTTGTTGCTCTGGATTTTCTCCTTCTCGATCTGCTCCACCAAAGCCTTCTGCTTGGCCTTCAGGAGATTCAGCTGCTGTGGTGAAGATGGTGCTCGTGAATAGTGGGCAAAGCACACACAGTGGCTCACAAGGCACACAGCGCTAACACTGTGGACCTACCTGTTTGTGGTGGACCAGCTGCTTGCGGATCTTCCTGGAGTACAGTCGATCCAAGCTGCTGTTGCCTTTGCTGGACCGATGCAAGCTCTGCGACTGAAGGCTGTTGTTGATGAAGCTCCACTGATTCCCTTTAGTGATGGAAATAAATGTGTCATAGGGCTGCAGCTTCACATCACGCCCAGCATGGTCCAATCACATGCAAGGGCAAGAACACAGGCCAGTGAAAACCAGGGAGAACACACCAATGAAAACACGCTCGCGATCCTTCCCACCCAGGTGCTTCTTAGTGGCAGTGGCCTCATCTTCAACGCTGGCCACGTAGTCCAGCAGTCGCGACACCAACATCACCACCCAGCTGATCATGGGGATGTCTAGCACACCTGCCGCACACACAAGACATGACCGCTGATTGGCTGAAGAGCCATGTGGAGGTAGGGCCAGCCAATGGCAAGGGCCAGGGCATTGCGGTGGGCCATTCTGAAGCCCCACCTTCTGTTCTGCGCTGAGATGATAGTGCCGCTGTGGCCGGCTGCTGGAGGGGGGACAGCAGGTTGTCCAGGAGGTTGAGGAGACCCTCCAGCACCCCACTGTTGCTCAGAGATCTTTGCCCAATGCAAGAAAGGAGCATGAAGACCCTAAGAGGGGACACAGCAGGCGGTGAGTTGACATCTGATCTGCACTAATACACCACTTTGGACAAAAGCGTCTGTCTCAGGCCCAGTGCTCCACACACCTGTCCTGGGGGAAGATGAGCAGCTGCTCGGAGTTGTATAGCTCCTGTAGCACGTTGGAGAGGAATTGGCCCCACCAGCGCTCGGTGCCGCATAATTGCACCAGCAGCAGCCCCGCATGCAGTCGGATCTTGGGTGTGCCGCTGATGCACAGGTGCTTGAAGAGCTCCTCGCAGGCCTGGGCGTGAAACGTGCCACGCAGCACCAGGGGCACTGAGTGGCCTGGGGGATGGGGTATCATTAAACAGCCTGTCTGGGACATACACACCTAAAAGAAGCAGATGAATGGTGAGAAGAGTGGAGCAACGGCACTCCCTACCATTGGAAGAGTGCAGTAGGCTGAGAAGCGTGTCCAGCAGATATCGGATGATGGTGCGGAGCTGCTCCGTGGACGAGTTCTGGACCAGCTCCTGGGGGTCAGGTGCTGGGGGCAGTGGTGGTCGACTAGCACCCAAGGACACACGCAGGCGCTGCACGGCGTGGTGCGCAAGGTTGAGCTGCAGCTGCAGCTGCACACAATCCTGGTAGGCAGAGAATACACGGGCGTCCTCCTCCACCGCCTTGTCAGGCTTGCGAAGGAAGTACTGCGCATTGTTGGCACTGTTCAGGGGTGGCAGGTCGATACTCTGTAGCAGTGTCTCCAGCCGATGGCAGGCCAAGTTGTACCTGTGGAGATGCAGAGTGGGGTGGTGGGAGGGGTAGCCAGTTGAGTACCCACCACACAGCAGGTCCTCCTGACTACCAGGCCGAATGCCCCAGGCCAGTGAGGGATAGTGATTCTTCAGGAATCGACAAGTCGAAAGAGGTTTTCCCAAATTATGGAGGAGGCTATGGGCCGGCCCCTCCAGCAGCACTTCCGTGTAGTTCTGTGCGATTCTGCCCTACCCCCTCACCTGCACTGGATATCCTCCTGCAGCGCAGCCATCATGCTGAGGTGCTGCTCCGTGTCAGGCTGATTGGCGGCCTCATTTTCACCCCGCAGCGGCTCGTGCATCAGCTTCAGCTCCGCCTCCCATGGCAGGATGTAAGTGTGGCCATAGTAGAAGCCCAATGGGATCTTGGCCCTGGCATTGGTGCTGCCGTAGCGGCCGATGACTGTGATCTGTATGAAGCCGACACAATGAGTCTGTAACAGTCACATAGGGTTGGTGTACCCGGACACCCGGCACCTCTCCTGGTGTTGGTATGGGTGTGTGTGTCTGTGTGTGGTGTGCGTGTGTGAGAATGCCCTGGCACCCCCTTCTGGTATTAATGTATGCACACTCACCTTCATGAAGCGGCAGACAGGAGGGGGCAGCAGGTCATGTAAAATGAGCGAGTGTGTGCTGATATCTGTGGCTACCACCAAGCGCCGGCCATCCACCTCCTCGCCCAGTGTCCAAATGTCAATGGACAGGGAGGCGAGGTCCGCGCAGGTGGGGATCAGAGCGTCGGTCAGCAGGACGGGCCGGCCAAAGTCCAGGGTGACGAAACGCCGGGCGCCTGTCGCATACACATGTTTAGCCTCATGCTCAACATGCACTTCTGGCATATCCAGTCATGAGTGATACATATACCAGCACCATCAAAGCGTTTCTGTGGCACCTGACAGCCCCATGCTGCTCCTGCCACCCCACCCCCCAGGGAGTCACACGGGGCTCTCACCGGAGTGCATGCGCTCGATGATGATTGATTGTTGTGGCGGTGGCTGCAGAAAATGGGAGGCCTGGGAGATGGCCAGCGCCAGGCCACTGCCCGCAGAGCTCTGTGGCAGAGAGTCACAAACCCCAGACGCCTTCAGTGGAAAAGACGGGACACAGAGAGAGGTAATGACAAGACAGCATCACCCAGGTTGGCCAATACAAGGAAAGTGAGGTTTTGGGGGGGTGAGCAGAGAGGCACCAACCGGCTTGGCTTTCTGTGTGGCTTTGTTATGGGAGGCCAGGCTGACGGGTGGCGGCTCTGCGATCGAGCAGGGAAAGAGCTGGGCCAGCTCCACGCTGATGGCAGCTGACACGGCCTCATTCGGTGGGGTCAGAGGCGGAGTCATGAACAGGGGTGTGGTCTTAGGGGTAGGCGGGATCACATCAGAGGGGTGGATGAAGAAGCCAGGCGCAGTGGAGGGATTCGAAGGCACAGAGTTATGAAGGGGCCCCACGGCTGCCACCGCCGCGGAGGTGGTCTGGTGCAGCTTGGCCTCCAGTTTGGCCTTCTGCAAGCACAGGAGAGCATCAGTACTGTACTTGGAGAGAGAGCATCTGCACCACATTGCAGTACATCTAACAGCACTGGGTAAAACACCAAAAGGCAGGCAGAAAATCGGCTCAAAACGCCCGAAGAAGGGCCCTTGACATGCACCCCCGACCCCCTGTCACCCACACAGCCTGACCTGCTGCTGCAGCTTCAGCAGCTGCTGCTGCTTCTCCTGCAGGACCTGAAGCTGCTGCTCAGCTGACACCATAGCGTGGGACAGCGATTGAAGTGCCACCTGTGCTGCTGAGCTCAGCGCCGTGGAGGCCTCGCCCACCGTGCCAGCAGACAGCCCCCCAACTGCCGGTGTCACGCCAAATGAACTGACTATTCAAGAGGAGACACGGGTTCAGAAAGGTCAGAGGGCAAAGGTCACAGGCATGCTGATAAATGAACGCACTCACGCAGTTCATATATTCCTATCAACCTTAACCCCCACCCAGCCTTAACCTTAAACCCAAGAAACCAAACAAAATACAAGACTTTTGACATTTTTAATTTTTTAATTGTAGTCAAGGATTTTTTTTAAATTCGCACACACGGTCAAAAGAATGGGTTTTTATCATATTGTGGGGACATTTAGTCTCCACAATGTAATATAAACATGACCAAACAGAGAGAGACAGACAATCACAGACAAACAACCAACAGACCCTGATGAATTTTCCTAACACAATACAACAGGATACAATTTTCTTTCAGAGGTAACCAAAAATATGGCTACCTGCCAGAAAGGGATCACCACAGGTCACCACAGCAGGGGACGAGAGAGAGTGAGTAAAAAGGGTATATACCGGTGAACATACTTGCATCATCCCTCTCCACCCTAGTGCCATCACTAGTGGAGACGCAAGTAAAGTGCAGGGGCTCGACCTCGAGGAGCCCAGTGAGTGCGGTGAAGCTCCCCTCGGCCGCGGCACAGCTGTTTACCTTACCACTTCCTGCAAGAACACCACACACGGTCACTTTGATGATGGTGACAAAAGCATCCACAACTCACCGTGCAACACAGCAACGCAACCAATGTATCAAGGGTCAGGGAGACTCATCTTGCAGATGGACATTTTCATAGCCCGGTGACATGGACTCCCGATCTTTTACTCAGCGCCTGGGATTCATTACTTTCATATACTGGGCTGTGTGTCACCCTGGCCTTCACCAAGTGACGAGAGCAGTAACAGAAAGGATGACCCCCCAACAGAATCGCAAACACCCCACCCCACTACAATCCGAGCTTGGCGAAAGGGCCCTGGAGCCACACACAAACCTGACAGGATGTCAGAAAAGTCAATCTCATCAGACTGCACGCCGATGCTGCTGCTGAAGGCGTTCTTGCAGGAGGACCCGCTGACCTCTAGGTCAAACAGAACCGGGTCGAAGGGCGAGCCATACAGGCCATACCTGAGACCAAGCAGGCAGAGAGGAAAGAGGAGCTCCTCTGAAACTAGGACTTCAAAGATTTAATTAAAGTACATTTTGGAGCGCGATGGCCGGCATCAGTTTGACCTCGTCAGGGAGTCTGTGTACATGGGCCAAGGGCCAGGGAGCCAACCTGGTTTGTAGGAGGGCCTCCAAGGGCGTAAGCCGGTCCTGGAGCTGGCGGGAGACAGCTGTGAGGAGGTCAGCGCAGGCTGTGCTGCACAGTGCCAGGTCTTCATCTTTCACGTAGTTCAGAAGCACAAAGTACCAGTACACTGATCCTGGTGCATGGAGAAGGGGCAAAGTCACTCGTCAGATCACCACAATGCTAATCGTGGATGAGGGAAAGGGGACAGTAACACATCAAGCAGCCCTCCACTTCAAACAATCATTGTTTAGTAGAGATGTCATTAAAGCCAATTTAAACACACACTCCCCCCATGTGGACGGCTGTTGAGGGTCATCTGGCATATCTCTATACTTCTATACTATCCCTATACCTGGACACATACCTCCTGTGGCCGCCGCAGGCAAGTAATGCATGTTGTCCAGCAAAGCCTTCAGCAGAGCTGCTCCGAACCCTTGCTGACTGGGATCACCCTTCCCGTTACTGTGACAACAAGCAGCATCATTAGCTAGGGGGCGTCACCCAAGCACAAAGCTGTACCCTAGGATCACCGCAGGTCTTACCTGATACAGAGAGCCAGAAAGCGTGCACATTTGTGGGCAATGCTCCGCCCGGCCTCGAAGAAGCAGACCCGCACAATGTCGCTCAGCCTCATCCTGGTCTTCATCAGCAACTCCTCTCTGCCTTCTCTCAAGCTGAAAGCAAAATGAACATCAGGCATGATCCCATCTGAGCTACTACCCAGGTGATGTGAACTTCCTGCCAGAATGTCCTGCTTACCTGCATGGCCCGTTGGAGTAGACCCCCGCCAGCCAGCATAAGATGTCCAGCAGCAGGCTCTGGGCATGCTCTGTCACCAGGCCATCCTCACATGGCCGGCACAGGCTACTTAACAGCTTCTCATGGAACTCCGAGAACTGCAGCATGGCGCAGCGCTGGACTCTGCACAAACCAGGGGGGCAGTGAGAAAAGCCTTGTGGAGGGCTGGGGTACATACTGCTCTCATGCCAGGCAGCCGGGCTCACCTCTCTTTGGGTATGGCGGTCTTCTTGAACCTCCGGATGGTGATGGAGACCTCCTGCAATAGGTCACAGCCACGGAGACTGTCTGGCTTCTTCAGGGCTGCTGGAGGCTCCACTTTGGAAGTGGAAGGTTTGTCCTTAACACAGGAATGTAGACAGCATTACGTGAGAGCAGAGACTCAATGGCAGGGGGGCGTAGAATTTATTTGAGAACCAGAATTGCAGCAAAAACAGTAGCAACAACCATTCAGTAAAGACTAGAGCTCAGGCTGCCATGACACCAGGACAACAGCAGGTGGCAGTAAAGGACACAAGCTGTCTAAAGGAACTCCCTCTGACGCAAGACGTCACAGAGGTTTTAAATATATCATAACTATATGTTCAGTTGCTCTATTTCTGGACTGCAATACCTGCATTAAGAACAAGAACCATGGTATAACAACTACCCCAATTAACGGAGACAGCACAGACTGACACTGATGTGTGGCTGAGTATTAGCACGACGGAGAGGATGCTCCTGTACCTTGGTGGCCTGGGCCCTCTGCAGCAAGGAAGACAGTGTGTGCGCCTTGCTGGTGGGCGGCTTGGCAGAGGCCATCCTCACCACAGGCCTGAGACTCTCCTCCACACCCTTATCGCTCATGGCCTTGATGTGCACCAGGAATGAACGGTACTTTCCCCCTGCCATGCCTGCAAGAGCACAGGGGAAGCAGACCTTTTCAGAGCTTGTAAAAACATGTGACCACACCCCGTTTACACTCAAAATTATTAGTAATAATAGACAGCTTTAGCTGTTACACTACAATCCGGAACCGGAGTACTCAACTTCAGAGAGTCACATTTTAACCACGACAAATGCCAAGGCCCAGATAAGATTTGCTGAGCCTGGGTGTTGGGGTCGGTACATTGTTTATTGCATTGCAGAGTTTAGTTGCAGTGGCACATTTTCCTTAGACACTGAATCCTGGACACGTTTTGTTGGCAAGTGGCCTGATTTGTATAACTAAAAGTTTTAATCAACAACCTTACACTGCAAAACTCAGACAGGTTTAAGCATAGACAGATTAACAAGACACAGGTGTGACTCAGAGGGAAGGAATAAACTCAAACAAAATTAACAAACAGCATGAAAATCAATAATAGCAATAATCCTTAAACTAAACGGCATGTAAAAACCTGCCTAACCACCAATAAATAAGAGATAAACTAAGCCATCCAACCCCCTTCCATGATGCATCTGTATATTTGGTATGTTTTATATTAACTGCACCTTCATAATGCATTCATAGAACATTCAGTGCACCTTCATAATGCTTTTACAACACATTCATAAGTAGTACGTAAGTATACCTTAACATCCTAACATACTGTAACAGCTTTAATATACTTTAACAACAAACATTAACTGATTACATGATTCTAAAGTGTGTCATGTAATGTTGTTTATGAACGTATATTAAAGCTGTTAAGGCACACTATAGGTATTAGGACACACCTCTCAAATTATTGAATTCAGGTGTTTCCTTCAGACCCATTGCCACAGGTGTTTAAATTCAAGCACCTAGCAATGCAATCAGGTTAACAAACATTTGTGAAAGAATGAATCGTTCGGAAGAGCTCAGTGAATTCAAGTGTGGTACTGTCATATGATTCCACCTTTGCAATAAGTAAGTTTGTTTATGAAATTTCTTCCCTGCTAGATATTCCACTATGAACTGCAAGTCGTATTATTGCAAAGTGGAAGCATTTATGAACTCAGTTGCGAATTGGCAGACCACGTACAGAGCGGGGTTGCTGAATGCTGAGGTGCATAGTGTGTAAAAGTCGCCTATGCTCCATTCCAAAATTCCTCTAAGATTAACCCCAGAACAAAAACTGTGCACCAGGAGCTTCGTGGAACGGCTTCCTTGGCCAAGCAGCTGCAAGAAAGCCTCATATCACCAAGCGCAATGCCAAGCATCTGATGTATAGCACACTGACTCTGGAGCAGTGGAGCATATTCTGTGGAGTGAAGAATCATACTTCTCTGTCTGGCAGTCGGACAGATAAGTCTGGATTTGGCAGATTACCTTGCCTGATTGCATTGTGCCATCTGCAAAGTTTGGTGGAGGAGGGATAATGATATGGGGTTGTTTTTTAGGGGTAGGCCTATGCCCTTCAGTTCCAGGGAAGAGATCTCTTAATGCTTCAGCATACAAGACATTTTGGACAATTCTGATTCTAACTCTGAGGGAACAGTTTGGGGAAGGCCCTTCTCTGTTCCAGCATAATTGAGCCCCAGTACACAAAACAAGATCCATAAAAACATGGTTGGCTAAGTTTAGTGTGTTTAGAACTTGACTGGTCAAAAGTTCTTCTAGGTGTAATGGCCAGGTCTCCCGATACTTTTGCCCATATAGTGTTTGCTAGGATGTTTAAGGTATACTTATATGTTTCTTATGAATATTCAATGAATGCACTATGAATGCATAATGAAGGTGCACTGAATGCTCTATGAATGCATTGTAAAGGCATTATGAAGCTGCAGTTAGTGTAAAGCATTACCATATGCTACGGTGAATATTTACTCAAAAGTTAAAAACCTCAAAACTTGTGAAAATTTCAACAAAGAGGTTCGTTGCTTTCTTTGATATGCTGAATTACATCTGACTTAGAGCAAGTAATGTAAAAGAAGCAAAGTAGTACGAACAGGAGTGGGACTGAATTTCGGACCAGGAGTTCAAGCCCCCGGACAGCACAATATAAAACTACATAAAACAATTACACTATTTATATATGTTTCTAGTAACAAATCTAGGCTATGGAATGCACACTTACCTACACATTTTAATTTTGGGTTTATGTAATTTTTATGTTTAAATATATGATCTGTGCAAATTCCAAAACATCTTTTCCTGAATTTGCACGGAACATTAATGAGGCATACTTTGACAACATTTCCATGCGAATGAGTTGTGACAGTCCGATATTAAACCAACTTCCCAGTAGATTCAAATTTAATGTTGCAGGGAAAGAGACATTTTTTACAATGCAGTTTACTACACAGAGGCCCATTGTACACTGACATACATTCTGATATAAAACATATGTCAAATACCATTTGAGTAATGAGTAATTAGTATGCATGTACTTCCACTCACAGGAGAACATCAGCTGAGTAAGCAGTCCTTCAATGCAGCACCAGACACATTCGCATTGACACCGATACAAGAATGTGGCCCTATGTGGCTCAGACCACCTCCAAATGTGGTCTAAGCGATCGGATCTCAATGTGTCCATAATGGCTACGTTCACACTGCCAGCCACATCATTCAATTCCGATTTTTTGATCAGATCGGATATGTCTATCTTGACGGTTCACATTCATAACTACAAGTGACCTATATCTGACTGTAATGTCAACGCATCGGTCCTCTGAAACGTCACGCATGCGCACATTGATACGTTTTTACATGGGTCAACTGCATCACCAACAACAAAAAACGTCATATCTGTGGGACGACTCATGTCATTAAAAATGGAGGCGTTAGTAGCTCACGCATGTATCGCACTTTGTTCTGGAGGATGACAAACAGCGAATTAGCTGTACATGAGCAGGTCGAAAAGGAGAAAAAAAAGTCAGGTGGCTAGCTTTTTCTGTTTTCTGTTATCGCAGCTCTCCTCCATTTTTACCTTCCTGCGCTGCCGGTGCAGGCTCATGATGTCAGCGCACGCGTATAAGCAAAAAGCCACATGAATTCTGATCTGAGCGTCACATTGAGGTCGCATGGCCGCGAATCGGATACGTATGAGATTTAGTACCACATATGAAAGTGACACAAATCTGATTTGAAAAGATCAGATTTGCGTGTCCACACAGCCCTGAAAAGATCACATCTGTGTCACATTAAGGCAAAAAATCCAATTTGAGTCACTTCAGCATGGCAGTGTGAACGTAGCCAAAAAGTTTTGGGTGCGTTCACACCTGTACTTAGTGCTGTACAGTATAGTACAGGTATTTTTTTAAAAGCTGCACCATAATGGGTATTTTATTTAGTATTTTTGAGACAATATTTGTGTTACACAGTTCTAATGTGAAACGGAATGCTGCTAATGTGAATGCAATACAGGCCAGGTAATGGATATTTAATTTTATTTCATTCAGTAAATTTAATTTTTTCCTTAGTAGGCTGCAGCAGTATTGACAGTTTTTTATTTAAGAAAGTCATACTTCGTTCAGTAAGCAACTGTTTCATAAAGAAAGAAGAGAAGCAATTAAAAAAAAAAAAGTTTTGTTTTACCCCCCACTGTACCGAAAACATACTGAACCATGACTTCAAAACCGAGGTACGTATCGAACCGTGATTTTTGTATACCGTTACACCCCTATTCAAGACTCAGTTAAAGTATTCTTTTCATCTTGTATTGAAACCAGAGCTGAAGTAAACAGTGTATAGGCAGTGGTCATTATTGTAGAACAAAAATAAACAATGCCCAAAGCGGTTAGTGTAAACATGCACGGTGCTATCACAGCAAATGCGAGGCTGAGACTGAAGCTTTACCCTTTGTTTCCACTGAGAGACATGCCGCGTGACTCATTTCCCCACGCGTACAAGTTATCTTAGGTCGCCGTTCACGGTTTGACTTCTGAGATTCAGATCGAGCTCTAGGTAATTTTTTTTAGAACTGCTTGGTTCGACTTTTAAGAAATTTGAGTTCCAATGAGTTTGAGAACTGAGGTACCACTGTACTAGCAAACCACATATTGTAAATTATTGGCTGTACAGTACCATTTTAACAAACCTTACCTATGTATTGCTTGTAAAAGGAAATGCAAAACAGGCTATATAACCATATTAATTAAATCATTCACTGATTCATTCATGATCGCGTGTTTAGCTACTACCAATATTCTATTTTTTTTGCAGCAATAACCAATAATGCTAATTCAGATGTCAGCCCAACCCTACCCTATCTTCTGCACAGTGATGGTAGAAAGAAAACCGTTCCTACATGAAACTGCTCATTACAAGGTCTGTGGATTATCTTAAGTAACCAGGTCATAAACTCTAGTATGACAGATTCCTGTTCTATTTCTTTGGTGCTTTAATCACCACAGAAAGAATGCTATTTAGTCCCATTATATTTGCTAGAAGACTGAAATTTCTATGGTCAATATCTCCAAAACTAGGCAACTCTCACCATAACAAATCTGGATGAACAAACAACATTACAGCATATCTGCATAAATTATTTTTTTTTGGGTGAACTGCTCCTTTGATGCAATAAACCTTTTTAAAATCATTATTAAAAACATTCAGGAGCAGTCCAGGTCACATTCACACTGCAGGCCTTAATGCTCAATTCTGATTTTCTGCTCTGATCGGAGTTTTTGTTTTCACATTACTCTTTTTAATGTGGGCAATATCAGATTTCAATGTGAACAGTTCACTATACTGAACTGGCCCGCGTGCGCACAAAACAACAAAGGCGCAACGACGCGCATGCACAAAAACAAAGACGTCACTTTATTGATTCGAAAACTGCCCGGTTACGATATGAGCCTTCCAGTTTTGCCTGAACAGATTTATCTCCCCAAATACTTATTAAATCCAGCATCTCACTGTCCCTCCACTGGCCAACTTCTGTGCTCTCCTCCATGTCTGGCACTCTGATGGAGACATATGGTGACTTTCGTCTGCGCAGAATTGACAAACGTCGATCGAGAGTGACATAAAAGTCGCATGAATTCCGATTTCACTGTTCAGACTCGCATTGCAAAAAATCAGACCTGTATCCGATTTATGACCACATACTGAAGAGGTCCAAAACGGAATTGAAAAAAATCGGATTCCATGTGACTTGTGCTGTTCACATTGTCATGAAAAAATGCGATCTGAGTCACATATGAGCAAAAAATCGGATTTGGGCCACATTTGTCCTGCAGTGTGAACGTAGCCTTCAAGCCTGGCCCAATTAGGATGAAGATACTGTCCAGGTACAATAAACCTACTGCATCAGCAGCATGTGGATTTTATTCACTGGAACCACCTGGCTTCTGGCCTAGTGATTGTGCTTCAACATTCAAAAGTTAGTATCTCACCAAAAAAAAAAACATTCCAGCTCACCTTTGACAAGCTTGGGGCTCGTCAGACTCAGCATCCCCGCGTGGCCGGAAAGGTCGAGACCACCGGCCAGCCACACTGGCCCACACAGGATGTCCTCCTTGTGCTCCTCCAAAAAGGAGCAAAGACAGGAGCCTATGGGACACAGAGGAGTGCAGTATTGATGGTAAACGCCAGGCAGCTTCCCCGTAGCTCTGCCAAGCTCTACTGCAGTCCCACACACGCTGTACCTGGAGTCTCCTCGACATCCATGAACTGGACATCCTCAGAGAAGCAGTCCTGAAGCAGCGGCTGACCATTCCTTTCCCCACTGGCATGCACAGCGTGGGATAAGGGAAAGGAAATTGGTCGGTCCACGGCAGTCTCTGTGGGAAGGTGAACGAGTCTGAGTCTCAAAGCAAGGGCAGAAAGGCATGCGTGTCTGTACCACCGCCACCTGCTTACCGTTGACCTTGCCCAGGCCTGGGGCTTTGTTCTTCAACAGGGTCACTTGTATATGGGGAATGTTTGTGATGTTGGCGTTCAAAACAAACTTGAAGTCCACGTGACCCACCATGCAGGCTTTGGGCAGAACCAGCTCAAACACGTGCTCGTCCCAGCTAGAGCTATGCAAGAAGAGGATGTTAACGACAGGGCCAGCAAACTAGGGCAGTCAGGAGTTGCTTTCTCATCAAAACTCAAAGAGGTACAAACAAAAAAAACACATTTCTGTCATTTCTAAAATGTTTCTGAATTCTCATTTGAAAGGCAGCTTTGTGTGATAGTATAAGGTAAAACAGGGAGACTTGAAAAATCGCCTCTCATTTAATACGCAGAAGTGGTCACCGTGGTGACGGATCACCTGTCACTCTGCAGTTTCCAGGTACGCGTATGCTGCGCGGCGTCGCCATGGTGTTGCTGGTGCAGGTGCTGTGGGTGTCGGCGCTGCTGCTGTTCCTGTTGCACCTCCACCCAGCAGGGAGGCACCGTGGCCGAGAAGCGGGGGGTCAGCGTCTCGAAGCGAGTTAGCTCCACCAGCGATGTCAACGTCTCCACACCCAGGGTTTGGTCCACCAGGAGATCAACCCCTGGAGAGTGGGCAGGTAAGCATGAGTGAGGATACCTCAAAAGAAAAGCGGAGGCCGTCTAGGCACTCAGAGACGCCGCTGACGGGCCTCTCACCTGTGATCCCCGGACTAGAAGGATTCGAGGATGGCTTTGTCCCTTCAGACAACTGCTCTACCCCTTTACAAAGGGGACCATCAACAAAGATGTCACCGTCATCAATATCATCACATACACCTCCAATTTGAAGGAAATGCAGCTCTCCACCTTGAACAGAGACAGAATGTAGATGAGTAAGACACAAAGTGCTAAAGAGAGAGACCAGATAGACTCAGGAAATTTTATACAGCACAACAAACTATTTAATGCCATTTTCATTCATGACAATATTTACACTGAGATGCTGTCTGTGAGTAATGCTTTTAAATGAAGGTGTGGATCTGAGCAATTGATATATGAGTTCAAAGACTCTGGCAACCAGGAAGGCCCTCTGGTTGTCACACAACAGCGCCATTTCCGTCAGACACACACTACAATCAATACTTCACTCTGACTGGCAAATATACCCAAAGTGTTAATATAAATACAAATAAATTAAAATACAATAGCTTCAAGTAATCAAAGATTCAGAAATTAAATGGCCAAGAATTTACACAAAAAGATTAACTAAAATACAAAAGAATATAAATAACAAAAAGATTAATATCAAAAAGATAAGGTGACCAGCAAGTAGCAGTAGCTAACAACATCTAGATGTTATCAAGGACCGACCATAACAGGAGGTACCAGCAGGTAAGTGCATCAACTAGAGGAAAAGTGTCAAAACTGGTCCAAAGCACCTGAGATTCAACTTATCAGTTCTGTGCTGAAATGTGAGGAGTACCTCAGGTTGGCAATCACTGGTCTAGAGTGAACTGTTGAATACTCCATTGCTAAAGTGCATAAGACTATATAATATTCTATTTTTACCTGCCAGTACCTAGTAGCAGAATTCCAGCCAGGCTAGAAACCCATTGGGTTTAAAGCTCCCAGTGCCAGAAGATGTGCTGATAACTTGAATTTGAGGTGAGTACAGTAGTTTCCAACTTACCCAGAACCACCACAAACTCTGTCACTGCTAATGGCACGGACACATTACTTGTGGCAACAACCCCCTGAACACCAAAGAAGCCCCACCTTACCCCCCCACCCCACACCTTTAGTGCATGCACAGAGCCGGTCGGTCCCAGAGCAGTAGGTGACTGAGACGAACGGGTCTGCCTCCTCGGCTCCCTCCTTCTTGGGCGGCTCTACTTTGGCCAGGACCTCCAGGCTGGACAGGTCCATGATCATGACATAACCCCCCTGGGTAGTAACGACCAGGTGGCCCAGGCCAGCCGGCTCGCCACGCTTTTCCTTGGCGGGCATGCTCCCGCCGTTCTTGAGGCCCAGCGACGCCTCCTCCAGTCCCTCCTCAGAGTCATCCTCCCGGCTGTCCAGGACGTCGGCAGGGAGGAGCACCAGCGAGGTGACTGCGTCCTGAGGGTCACGAATACGCTGCACCTTCACAGGCTCCTCATCCAGGGTGACTATGCGGGTGGAATAGTTCAGCTTGTAGAGCAGCAGGTAGCCACCGCCTGCCACCCTCTGCTGCTCCGAGGGCAGGATAAGCGGGGTCTGCTGATGTCCACCAGGGTGGGCCTCATGCTCCTTACCACCTAAGACAGTCCCATTGGCCAGGCCGCATGGCGGCCGCAACTCGCCCTTTCGTCGGCCGCACAGAGCCGAGTGGAGCTTGTTCAGGTTATTGAGTGCCTCTACCTGGTTGATGCCACTGAGTGACTCCGCAGAGCACGACTGCAGGCCCACCAGCAAGTGCAGACCGTCCGTACAGGGCGTGATGCTGTCCACATACAGGTTCTCCTCCTCCAGCAGCTTGGGGAGGCGCAGGCACTGCACCAGCGTGCCCGGCTTGGGCACCACAGAGCTCCACTTGTCGGTGTCTAGGGCAGCTAGGTTGGCAGCAGCATCAGCGAACTGCTGGATGTAGGTGATGGGCGGGTCCTGTAGCAGCAGCTGCTCGTGAGTATCGAACTCCATCTCGATGATCTGGGGCACAGTGAAGGCCTCCTCATGTAGGCCTTTGCTCATCAGGCTGTTCATCTGGGCAAACACCTTGCCCGACTTGTCATCCGACTCCTTGACACTATAGAGCAGGAGCACCGGCATAGTCCTCTGCAGCACCGAAGGGCCGCCAAGTTCAGCACCACAGCCATCAATCTCTACGGGGCCCCGGTTGGCTGACGCCTCAGGGCTCCGAGTTCTGGCAGGGCCATCCTGTGGGCGGCGCTGCAACGCAGCTATCGAGCGGTAGCTCAGCAGCCCGCCAGCCAGCAGGCACGGGAAGGGAATGTTGTGGTGCTCGACCGACTTCTCCTTGGCCTTGTCAGCCTTGACCTGGGCCAACGAGGGGTTGGCACCCAGCTCCTCCAGGTCCTTGACTGTGTCTTCCAGTACGCTGGCTACAACCTCCCACTGCAGCTTCTCGGGCTGCTGCAGGACGCTGAGCGCCGTCACAGCCAGATTCATCTCCATGCTCTCCTTCTGGGATGGGTGGCCTAGGTGGGGAAAGAGGGCAGGGCAGTGAGAACGATGAGCGATGTATCCACGTGCACACACACATGTGCACACCCTGCATCACGGACACCCCAGAGAAAGGTGGGACACCCCAGAGAAAGTGAAGGGCTCACCCGTCACAGACTCCGATCTGGAATGGTCTTCGCTGTCTGAGTCTTCCAACTGGTCGTCACTGGCAAACATTGATATAGAACAGGAGAAGTTTATCAGCTGAGGGGGGAGGGGAGGGTATGGGAAGAGGGGACATTCTATGTGTAATATGGACTTGGAGCACTCCAACATCTGCTAGCACAATAAAAATACAGTCAACAGGAAAATAATTTGATAATGATGAAGAGGGAAACTACAAAATCAAGCACATGAGAAATAATAAAGCTACACCTGGCAGAGTTAGTAGTACATGTTCACCCAGATCAGTGATTCTCAAAGTGTGACATCGCAGCAACGGCGCAAAGCACAACAAATCCCAGGTTGAGTGTGCGCTAAAATGTGTAGCGGAACCAGAGCATGCGAGCGGAGCGATGAGACTTCAACTGAATTGGGTTGCGAACAGCTGGCTGCCATGAGAATTTCAATTCGAGACAAGTTTGCACATGTATGTAATAGTTTTATTACCTTGTAAACAGAGGGTAGGGTTTGCAAACAACCCTAATGCTTTTGACGTAGCAAATTTTAGGTTTACAATTGAATAACTGATCTACAGTAAGATTTCTTGTGTAAGCATGAGAGTCTGGAAGCGTGAGTGTTACACTAGATGCGTGAGAGTTGGGAACCCAGTGAAAGTGCACCGAGACGGAGCGAGAGATATGGTGATGCTCCAGTATTTTTTTTTCCCAAATATGCTGCTCTAAGCTCACTTCCAGTCCGGCAATAATCCTTCCAGTCCAACTCTACTCTGCTGACATGCTCTGAACGAAACCAAAAAGTTGAATTTACATTTTTCTTTTCTTTCAGATAGCGAAACAAACGTGACGTAAAATATGGATATATATATTTATTTATTTTTTATTTATCCTTTATTTTACTAGGAATGTCCCATTGAGATACATTATCTCTTCTTCCAGGGAGTCCTGGCCAAGGTGGCAGCAATAAAATATACACACACACCCACACAAAGATGTACCTCAGAACTCGAATTTAATCCGTTCAGAACTCCGGATCAAATCCTAAAAAGTTCAAAATCTGATCGAATTTTCCCCATAAGAAATAATAGAAAACCAATTAATTGGTTCACGGCCCCAAAAAAATACACCTAAATGTTTTTTTTAGCATTTAAACACAAATTGACCCGGATAAAACAAGAAGAGCATATACTGTACTAAACACATCTAAGCACATTTATCAAAACAGTAATTTGTAAAGTAAGAAAATAAATGTATCCAAACAATGTGTAAAGTTAAAAAAAAACAATGTGTCCTGCCCCAATCATCCGCTCCTTCCGTGTGCCACGCCCCCCTTGTTAACCCCGTGTGGAATCCTGTGTGATCAGCTGTTTCTGCTTGTTATTAGTCCTCTGTATTTCGTCCACGTTTCAGTTTGTTTTCCCCGTCCGGTCATTGTATTGTCCGTCTGCGTTTTGCCTGCCTTACCTGTAA